ATAGCAACAGGAGGAAATAGCAACAATTAAAACCGACATGAATATACTAGATATTTTAGGGTTTTTTTCTTCCTCTAGTAGGTAGTCCTGTGTGAAAATGGAACACATTCTCTATTTAGAAAATCCTACCTCTTCTATTCTCATCCTGTTGCCCAAACAAGTGCATACATTGGTGACCCATGACTGGAACATTTTCTCAGTGCCACTGTGACAAATTATCACAAATATAGTGACTTACGGTTTGGTCTACCAGGCAGTCCAAAATGATTCTTCTGGTGCTAAAATCAATGTGTCAGTCAGTAGGAACTGCTTCCTGCTAGAGGCCCCAGGAAGAACATAAGCTCCTTGTCCTGTCTGGCTCACAGTTTGCCTTCAGTCCTTGGTTTGCAGCCACATCATTCATTTTTGTTTCCATTGTCCATTTTCACATTGCCTCTGTACTCTGCATGATGACCCTCCAGTTTTTCTTCCATTAGGACTTTTGTAATTACATGGGGTTCATCCAGAGAATTCACGTTTATGTTAATCTTCACATCTCAACATACTTGCTTTAATCATATCTGCAAATTTCCTTTTGCCCTGTAAGGTGACACACTAAGATTCTAGTATGCTATTACTCAGCCTACCATAATTAACCAATCAAAGCAGCAAATTCCCCCAGCAACAGACATTGTTTCATGGAAAAGGTGACCTGAGTTGGTTCAATCAGGGGGCATCCTGGGACTGCACTAAGTGAAAAAAGGCTCCCTCTACAGGCCTTGGCATGTGGGGAGGTGAGCGGTCACTGGCACCACTGAAAGTATCCAGCACCTGTGGACAGCACTTGACTCTGAGCAAGAATCACCCCCTGGACAGAGTCTCTGGCCACACCTTTCTCTCTCTATATATATATATTTCCACATCTGTATTTAGTCTTGCCATTTTGAAAGAATATATGTTTGTATTGCTGTCATTGCCCTCTCTTTGTTTGTGAAAGTTAAGCCTTCAAGAAGTTGAGTGACTATTTCAAAGAAACATTTGATTTACAGGGAAGCCGGGTTGTCAGAGCCTCTATTCAGAGGTTTAACCATTCTGCTAAAAAATGCCAATGTGATGTTGCCCAGGGCTAGACAAAATTTCAGGGTCTGCCTAACTAAAATGTACCAAGAATAGCGAACCATATAGAAATCATTGCAGGGGCTGCAATGCCTTTGGAGAACACTAGGATGCTGTTTAGTTTTTTTTTTTTTTTTTTAGCGTGTTCTAAGTTTGCTCTGATTGTAGTTTATGACCTTTTTAATGAAAACTAGTTTTTCATTTAGCTAGAAATGATATCTTTCCGTGCAAAAACATATGTGAATGTTGGTTTTGTGATCACAAGAGTGACAGGTCAGATTCTGAAGCCTAGTTCAGCATTCTCTTTAATTGCTGCCCTTGCCCTCATTCTCCCTGGGAGTTGGGCTGGAAGTCTGTATGCATGACTCAACCATCCTGCTGGTGACTAATGGGAAATTAAAAAAGAACTTATTGCTACAAGCATCAGATAACTAGGTCTCTGAATTTTTTCTAACAAATAAAACTGAGACGTGTGTGTATATATGTGCACATAGCTATGTAAAAGCAGATAAATACTTTGATCATGAGAACTCTTTCATCTTATCATTCAGACACTTACCTTGGTTAATGAACCTCTCTACAATTTCTCCATCTCAGGGTGCCACTAACTTGAAGCGGCATGAATCTGGCATTTTAGGGAAAGATCCTGTGTACCAGACATATTGTCAGGTAATTTAATCACATCCTCTCATTTTAGCCTCATAAAACTGTATGAGATGGGGAAAGGTTTATTATATAGACAAGCTCAGAGTTTATGCAATTTCTGCAGGGTCACGGAGCAATGGAGCATGAATGTTGAGGCAGTCTGGGGTCGGTCTAACCCCCAAACACACACACACACACACACACACACACACACACACAACCTTTCCTTTCACATCCCTGTGCTCTCATCTCTAAAATCCCAGAGCTTTGCAGTCAGTACTCATCACATGGAGTCTTGCTCAAGTGTGAGCTGTCTTGTGTCATTCCTGTGTTGTTTTCCTCGTATTTGTTGTTAGTGGACAGCTTTGTCTTTTACAGGGCACCTCCTACTGCTGAGGGAGAAGTAGCTTGCGCTCACATGAGTTCAGACTCAGATTCGAAGTTAGACCGCAGCCTTCTGCCACCTCGATAATGGGTGAAATTAGGTAATCCTGCTAAACTCTGATTTCTTGGGAAAAATAATCACATCCTCCCTGGGTTGCTCTGGGAAGTCAGTCGAGAGACACATGCAAAGTTGTCAGGGGAGACCAGGCATTGACTTCCTCAATCTTTCAGAAGTTTGGAACAATTTAGTAAATGTGGTCTGATGGAGTAGGGAAACTAAATGAAACGTAAAACCCTTTATTTCTAGTCCCTAATCCCATTCCTCTTTGCAAAACAGTGTACATGAGACAAGAAGTAACTGACGTTCTGATGAAAATATTTCATCTTCCTGGCAAAGACAGAATTTGTGTGACAGATCGGAGCCCGCACGGCAGGTTTCAGTTTTATAGAGCGGCGAGTGGCACGTTCCGCTTCCCTTGTCTGCTTTTTATCTTGAGGTCAGAGAAATGACGCAATACATTCTCACCAGTGCCAGCCCTTCATTTCTTGAACATCTGTGCCCAGAGCATATGTCTGCAGAGACAAGTGGATTCATCTTATTGCTATCGGGGCTCTTATGTGCCGGCTCCTTTGAAGCATGGTGCATTTATTTTGACCATTCCTGCCAAGTAACAACAAGTTAAAGGGGAACTCGGGAAGAGAAAATCTTTGTTTTCCATCTGGAAAGAATTCTGAAACACTTATTAACCTTCTCCCTTAAATCATCCAGCTTTAAATATGTTCAAGAGCCACTAGGCTTGAAGTTATTACAACTGGCTCATCTCTAGAAAGTTTTGGCTCATAGACAAACACCCATGTGGTTTGAATTTCTTCCATAATAGGTTTAAAATATGAGGGTGTAATTAGTGACTCTTGAAGTTGAATGACTCTACGAGCTTGCAAACTCTCGAGATAAACTCAGTGCCTCTGGCAATCCCCCATCCTATTGAGAGGCTTTTCAGGAATATCCTTGAAAAGGAGCTCCGTCAGTACCCTAGCAGGATTATGGTTAGATGCTGTCTTTAGAAACCCATCCACTTACGAATGCATCCTTGATAGCTCCTTCCTCCTTCCCAGTGTCAAGTCCCCTGGATTATGCACATTTCCATTATCTATTAATCAGGCATCCTGCCGTTGCTTTTCATTAACTATCATTATACCCTGTGATCTGTTCACCCTCTAGCCAAGTGGGAGTTTTCCCAAAAACAAAACTTTTCACATGTTATTTTGCTCACTGTTGTACCTTCATAAGGGAGCATTGTTTCTGGTAACTTGGATATTTAATAACTTATCACTGTGTAACTAGTGAATGCCTAACTAAGTAACCTAGTGAATTTTGAGCAGGTTTCACCTTCATTTCTTTACCTGGAAGGAGTATTGGGAAACATATTGTTCAAGTGGGTTGAGGAACATAGTATAGTACACAACCCAAATGCATATGAAACACATTGTGGACCAGCAAGTCTGCTTTCCTCAGTAAAATTTTCTCTCCAATGCAATAGTGGTGTGACTTTTCTTGCTATGGTTTGCTTCTTGCTTATTCTTGAGGTCTTTCTCTGGAAAGTAGCCATAAGCAAAGAGACCCACTCTCTAGAAGAGCCCTGATGGGGAGCGGTAGGTTTGGCAGTGTATTTCAGGTGAGACACAAAGAGGAAACAACAACAACGAAAAAATTGCATAGATTTCAAGAGCTCAAAGGGTGCCAGAAGGTGACAGACCGGAAGCCCAGGGGAACCAAGGAGCCCAACAGAAAAAAAGAGATACTGAAGCTGTAGAATAATGCAGATTTATTAAGGTTTGACCGTCATCCCCCAGGTTTTCCTATGGGAGTGGTTGATCTGGAAATTTAAAAAATTCCCTCTAAGGAGATAACTTATTTTCTTGACTCTGATATTCATGATTAGATCTGATTATATGTGCTCAGCAGCTTTCTGGTATGTTGGGTTTGGAGACAGGACAAAGAACAAACAGGATATACTGCATCACAAATGATCACATGGGCAGGGGAAGTTTGAGCTACGCCAAAGGTGACAGGGTACAACTAATTACAAATAAATTATGTCAGGACTGAAAATGCATGCTAAGGCAGGAGTTACATTAAATACATTTATGAAAATTACATCTCTTGTAAAGAAATCAATAAAGTACAAGAACATTTCCCTGATCTTAATCTTTATTTTTGGAGGTCAACTTTAAAACCTAGCCAGAGAATTTTGTTTTTTAAAGAGCCTATGGACTCACAGGATCAGTGCCAGCTGGCAATGGGTAAGGTCAGTAAATGGAGATTATGCTAAGGTGAATGTCTCAAAGCGTTACACCAAGAGGTACACTGGGACATACTGAGGAAGGGAGGTCTGGGGAGTGTGGTGTACCAGGACCAGGGACTGACTTGGCATAGGCTCCTGTGTAAGGACTTCTCTTGAATATTAGGAGAATTGGAGAAAGATGTACATGTTTTAACTTTCCAGCATAGTAGCAGTAATGTACCAAAGCCCTATTTTATTTTGTTTTTTTAGTACCGGGGATCAAACTCCGGATCTTACTACTGCGAGGCAGGCACAGCACCACTGAGCTAAGTCCCTGGCCCTCAAAGCCCTATTTTAACCCCACACAGTTTCTTATTTAGTTTGTTTGATATGCCTTGTTTACACTGTGATAAGAGGAAAATATTTACTCCTACGTATCGGATCAATTTTCTCTACCAAATGCTCAGATTTCAGTTTTCATTCCCCAAGCAGGCCATTCTGCTGCTTCATTTCCTATCTCAGGGAGTTTTCTTGATGAATTTGTGGGATTTATTTTATGTGATTTCAGACCCAAGTTTTATTTTCCTGTAGGAAGGAAAATCTCTTCAATCTGACCCTGCTTACACATGTGGGCCCGGAACTGTGGCTGAAACCCACTGCAGTCCTCTTCCTGAAAACCAGTGAGTTTCGGTTCTAACATTGCATGGCTGCTTCAAATAGTAAAAGTGAAATTTGGTTTTCCTGAAGATTTGCTCTTGTTTTTCATTGTTTGACATTGTCTTGCAGTTGTACCTTCATCTGACATCCCCCCTGTTCCGGTGCTCAACCGTACTGCCTACTCTGGTGATTTCTTTTCCTCAGAGATTCTTCCTTCTGTCCCTTGCATCCAATTGGGATGTTCCTTCTGAAATGCCTTCATTGCTCTGTGTTGAGTTACCCCTTGCTGCTGACTGTGTCATCCTTGCTATTTCTACTTCCGTTTTTTTTTGGCGGGGGGAAACATTCCCAAACAACTTTTCAAAGTCTGTGCTTGGGAAGCAAAGTCTATTCATTCTCACCTGCACTTAACAACTTTGCAGTGTATATAAAGTTGTGGGTACGAAAATGACTTCCTTTACAATTTTGAAATTCTTTCCATACTCTTTTCTAGTATTCACTCTGTGTGAAGATACTATAGCATTTATTCCTCTGTGGATAACTTCTTTATTCTTTTTAGAAAAGCCAGGCCATTTGTTTTTGGTACTGGGGATTGAACTCAGGTCCTTGTGCTTGCAAGGCAGGCCACCGAACTGCTGAGCTAAATCCCCAGCCCTAATACTGCTTTTTAAATTATCATCTTTGTTTGAATTCAGGAGAACTTACCATTTTTACTGAATTCAGGGTTATGGAGAAGAAATTCACAATTGAATCCACTCTTTTCGTGTGCAGTTTGATGAATTCCCACTAATTTATACCACCATATAACCCACCAATCAAGAGACAAAATATTTCTAACACCACCAGGAGTTCCTTTTTGTCCCTTCTTTGTGTCCTTCCAAGCCCTTCGTCCCAGTCTCTGGAATCCACCAACATTATTTCCAGCTCTGTGCTGTCTTTTGTCAGAATGATGTATGAAGAACATGCATGTATTTGTGTTTTACTTATTTCATGTAGCTTCATATTTTTGATGTTTATCCATGTTAATGGCTAAATCAGTTAGCGATTCAGCCATTTTTATTTCTGTAGACTATCGTTTGTATATACTGCAGTTTGTCCAAACAATAACTAGTTGATGATTTGATTTCATTGGTGTTGCTTTTTAATCTATAAATAAAGCTAATATCACTACTTATATACAACTTTTTAAGTGGCCACATATTATTAATTTTCTGGGAGTGTGATATGTGGGTCATATAATTAGATACACTCTTAACTGTGTAAGATAAGCCAAATTGTTTCCAAAGCAGATGTATGAGTACTGTTTGGTCTGTATGCTCAACATCCCTTTGCATTTTCTATTTTTTAATGTCAGCCAATTTAGAATATGAATCCTTATATCTTATTGTGGTTGAAACTTTATCAACTCAAAAACCCACATTTCCTTAGTTCTAGAAACTTTTCTTGTATTATATCTGGCAATACGCTTTCCTCTTTCATCATTCTTACTCACTTCTATAATTTCTTTTACTAAGTTATTGGGCCCACTGAATTGTCTTTTGTGTCTTCTCTCATATTCTTTTCTATGCTTTTGGATCTAGGTACCATGCCATTCATTTGACCTAATTTTAGCCCATGTAATTTCTCCTCTTTAATTTTACATGGAACATTGATTCCTAAGAACTCCATCTTACTACTTTATGTTTGCTTTCTCATGTCATTCAATTCTTAATTTTTGAAAGCATGGTGTCCTCAGAATTTTGTCAGAATACTAATGAGAATGTGTTTCCTGCTTCTATTTCTCCTTGTTGATTTACTGTATTTTCTAGCTATTGAATTTTGTCTTTCTCCACCCTTTTTCCTTCAAATTTCAGGTGATTCCATGCTGCCTAATTGCATTTAAAAATTAGTCACAATAATACCGTGTGCAAGCTCTGTGTAAAGGAGACAAGGGGTGCGGACCAGAAGGCTTTTCTCTCAGTTGATTTCTTTGCTGCTCATAACTGCATACAAAGCAAAGGCAAGAGTTCTGGTGTGGGTCACCTGCAAGCTAGCTGCAGAGGAGGAAAGGATGCAGCTCATATTGAATAAGAGTCAACAAAATCTCTAAACACTGTGAAATAATAGCAGTAAAGCAATTAACGGCGGCACGGTGCTCATCACCTTCCTGGCCCTCTTCTAAGCACAGCGGATACGTTCATTGAATCTTCATAAGAGAATGCTCGTTGTAGTTGTGACTTGAGAGATGAAAGCCTGGGGTGCAGAAGGGGTGAGCAAGGTGTGGAAGTGTGCACAGCGAGGAAGTGCCAAAGCTGGGTTTGTAACAGAGCAATTTTGATTGGGAGTGTTGGCTGCTAGGAGGAGGCCTTTCATTCGGAATCCTGCTAGTAGACCAGCGAAGTGGGCATTATCCTTGTCACTGTATAGAAGAGAATTCTGACCTGCATACAGATGGATGATGAACCCAGTTCTCAAGGCTCATGGGTGGACTCTGGTTCCATTGCACTGCCTCAGATTTGTCCAAGGAATGAAAATGTTAAACATCTGAAAATAAAGGTTTCTGGACAATTGAATCAATGTTTATTGGAAGCAGGGTAGTAATTGAACACAGTATTTTGGTTTGCCCTATGAAAACCAAACAAATTAAAACAAAACAAAACAAAAAAAAAAACCTTGTTACTAAGGACCTGTGCAAACTTTCTCTTCTACTTGGCATCCAACAATTAAGACCTGAAATATCAATTATGCTGTTTCTCGATAGCACAATGGATCAATAACCTTCATTCTGTGTTCTTCATAATTACTGTGTGGGGTTTTCTGAAAAAACATTCTGAACCAGATCCTATGTATTAATCTCCTCACATAGTTCTTGTTCCTCACAATGGAGCAATCAGACCTCGATTAATGTTAGCATTAAACTAACTGCTATCTAATCAGTTGACAAAATATCAGTTTTGACTCTAGCTTTCTGTGGTGTGTGTGTCTCAAATGCTTCTGATTGGTGCTTGCTATGAGGACGAATAAAGAAATGAGACATACATTATTCATGGAAGTGAATGGAAGGTTTTTTATTTTTGTCATATTGGAGCTTTGACAGAATGACAGGGCAGTAACTCAAGGCCTAAATGTAAACCATCGTCCTTTCCATCCTGTTTTCTTTCTTTTTTAAGAATAGAAAACTCAAGTCAATCAAGCAATAAGTAAAATGGGCCTCTAGAATTCCACATCATGAAAAATGACACCACTGGCCAAAAATGCCTTGGAGTGAGTTCGTTTCTTCATTTCCTAGTATTCCGGTTTCCTTCACATCCTGTCATTGCATTTTCTCCTTCTAGCTAGATGGTACTGAGCTATCTTTCTTGATCTGTTTCTCCACATTGATGTCATGCATCCCTTTTCAGATGTCTGCTGGAGCAGGGTGACCTTCCTAGGACACAATTCCAGATCATCTCTCTCACGTTTGATTCATTCGTGGAATGCTGGAGTCTCCATTCATATTTTTCAGATGAGTATTATTCACAATTCCTTCTAAAAAGGCAGATCCAGTGAGAACTGCTCTCCTGAAAGCAAGATGGAAGGCTTCCCTCATAGTAACACTTGAATCTCCAAGATGTCTTTATTGATTGCTGGGGCTCTGAGGAACTCTAGAGATCCACTAGTGAGTGGAGAACATAAAAGAGATGATCTGGAGATATGTACATGTTCTAAAGCATAGTGACATTGCCCGAATTAAAAAAATAAAATGCTACTAATATTTGGAAGGTCCACCCTGAGCAAAAAAACAGCTTATTAATATATGCAAATAACCAAAATACTTCAAAAATGATTACAGCTGCTGGGCTGCCGACCCAGATAAGCACTGATGTGGTCCCAACTTCAAAGGATCAATTTCCACCCAGATGTGGGAAAAAGTGTTTGCAGAAGCATTGCCAAGTGACAGGTGGTGAGCTCGTCCAGCATGACTAATGGTAGAAGAAAAGAGGAAGTCAAAGGGAAAGAGACTGCTGGTAGAAACACAAAAATTTATTATTCTCTGGGAAAAATGTGTTGTCAAGAAGTCTAGGGTCTTGGCTGACACTTGCGCTCTGAATCAATTGAAACAGTTTTATTCGGGTGAATGGCAGCCAGAAACAATTGTCCACCTTCGTCATGACTCTGTATGGCTAAGCACAAAATGAAGTGCAGGCTGCGATCAACAGGAAAGAGGGAGTTTGTAATCATCCGAAAGTGTTAGCCTCATTGCTGTAAATGTGGGGAAAGAGCAATGCTGGAAACACTGCAGTGATTAACACAAACAAGCACACAGATAGAAGCATGTAAACAACCCTGTCTCCAAGTCAAAACAACCAGGTCACCACAGTGCACTCTAGGGTGACACTGGCGAGACCTGCATTCCTACAACTCCAAAGCCAACCTAATCAAGGCATTTTATACTAAAACAACTTTGGCTCCATAGAAATAACATTGAATTCTTGATGGTTGGTTGGTGAAATAGTCAAAACTGAAGAATTACACCTATTTTTAAAGAAGATTCTATTTTATGGCATTGCTCTTACATTTTCTGTCTTTTCTGTGAATCAGTGTCATCATGAAAGGACCTCAGCTCACTTTGTAATTTCTTTTTCTCCGTTTGAGTGTTTTTATTGTTGTTTGGTTTAAGCTATGCATACAACGAAGACCAGGTCATTGAAAATGAAATCAGTTCAGCTTAAAAATTAGTACAAGCATCAACAGCAATTATCTGACTTTCTTTGAAGTTTACTAGTCCAAGTTTGCAGTACATAATGATTACGTTCACTGTAGGGAAGTAGTACATGTACTTGACAAATTTTGATCCCCCCGCCTATTTTTTCAGCATCAGTTTCATTTATTTATCTTGTAAGTTCATATAAAGTTCATTATCATTATACAGATTGAAAATCAGGCTAATAAAGAACACACAGCTGAAGCATCTACTCGAAAAGATGACATGCTTTCCGTCTGCGGTAGGTGGGATACGAGGTACAGCCACAAGGAATCCACGCTCCTCTTGCTGGAGCCTGCGGCTGTCAGCGTGAAATAACACACAGCTGTGCTCTATGGCATGGGTCACCTCCAAAGTGGAATAAAAAGGGCATGAGTTTTTGGTGGACCTGATCTTATCACAAAAACAAAGGACATTCTCTGGTTTGTGGTAGAAAATGAAAACAGAATTAGAAGCCAGAACATCTCAAAAGACAAGGGGTTGATGCTCTCCTGTTGGTTTTGAAGCTGTAGGGAGCTGTGTGTGAAGGTGTTTGCACAGCTGCTTGGAAAAGAGAGAAAGCCGTATTGACAGCTAGCAAGGTAACAGGCGTCTCTGCCCCACACCTTCAAAAAACTAGATTCTGCCAAGAGCTTGAATGAGTCTAAGTAGTATTTTCCTCAAAGCCACCTTAAATGAAGAGCCAGGTTGGCTGATTCCTTAATTTCAGTCTTCAAAGTCAGTCTTAGTACATTGGTGTTGCTGAAATAAAATACTGGAAACCAGATAATTTACAGGGTTTCATTTTGCTCACATGTCTGGAGGCGCGGCAGTCCAACAGCACTGTTACTGTGTGAGTGCTATGGTGCGAACTGTCTTCTTCTTGCATCATGACACGCATCGCATGGAAGACAGCAGGTGCACTGCAGAGAGCTCGCTCTTGTAACAAACCAATCCCACAACAATCCATTCACCCATTGGTCTTTTCACGAGGGCGGAATCCTCATAAGTCCCACACACCTCTTAAAGCCGCGCTGTAGACCAGCTCTCTGATGCACTGCACAGTCAATCCATGGCAGGAACCCTAAGCAGAGAGCACACTGGACTCCACTTGGATTTCTCTTATGCAAACCTGTGTTCTGGGATGATCTTCAAATATTTTCCTTTTATATATGTGGGATTATGTGATGTATTTCATTATTTGAGCAACTTAAGTGTGTGTGTTAGTTCTATTATTGGGATAAGAGTAAGAATTGATGTGAAATGTAAAACTTTCATTAGTTGCATATGTTTCTGAGGAGTTGGTAAAGTTAGAAGACGTATGTAAGAATTGGAGCACATAACAGGGGACCAAGGAAACAGAGCCCAACCGAAGACAGAAATGTGGACACCAGTGCCAGAATGTGAAGATTGCTAAGTCCTTCAGATTTAACAGTTTTCCAGATACAGCTTACTGGGCCAGGAGAGGAAGTGAACAAGGTGGAAGGAATTTCAGTGAAATAATATGCAAGAGGTAAGTCACAGGCAAAGGCAGAGTGCAGATGCCTGAAGGAGCCTGAGGTGTAGGAAGGGAAAGGAGACCACGAGGTGTCCTGGGACCAAAAGGAGGAGGAGCTAGGAGAGAATGAGCAGATGAAGATGCCAGACACATCTATTGCTCTCCTGAGTTGATAGTCTAGTGGAAAGAGAGATATGAATGGAATGCTTATACCACAAAGGTGTCCTGGGACCAAAAGGAGGAGGAGCTAGGAGAGAATGAGCAGAATGAAGATGCCAGACACGTCTATTGCTCTCCTGAGTTGATAGTCTAGTGGAAAGAGAGATATGAATGGAATGCTTATACCACTTGATATCACTGCCGTGGTAAGGGCAGCGAAACACTGTCCCAGCTACTATAGAAGACTATAATGGGAAGTCTGACGCCATGTGGAACATCTGTAAAAGCTTCTGCAGAAAATATTGTTTGAACTAAAATATGAAGGGCTGGACTTTTCCTCTCCAAATTCTTGCACTGAATCCTCACCTCTGTGTCTCAGAACATGGCTGTTTGGAGATAGCGTCTCTAAATTGGCAGTGAAGTTACAAGGAGGTCACTAGGCAAAGACCCTATCCAGTATGACTAGTGTCCTTATGAAGAGAAGTTCAGGCAGAGACACTGAAGGAAAATGTTGTGAAAACCCAGGAAGAGCATGCCTATCAAGGAACCAAAAGAGAGGCCTCAGAAGAAATTAAATCTGCCTACACTGTATCACAGACACAGGCCTCCCAAACTGAGACGGTCATGTATTGTAACAATGCAACTGATCTGTGGTATATCGTTATGGCAAGAACATTAATAAAAGTAGGAATTCACCTCTCAGAGTGGAAAGAGGAAGATACAGAGACATGGAAGAGGCCAATAGGTATTTGTCAGGTTACATGAATAGGACTTGGTAGTGATGGACTGGAATTTGGAAAACAAAGCTTGTTGTGCTAGATAATATGGACCGTGAATCCAGTTTACAGTGAGTCAAGAGCTGAATGCAGGTATAGGAAGTCACGGAGTTGAAGTACAGAAGAGGAAAGTGGGGCTAAGATAGTACAATCCAAGTGATGGGGGACTGTGTCACGGCCATGCTTGGGACTGCTTTCTACTATAGGGTGGATGGAGGTCTGCCTGGAAGTATGAGACATTGTTCAGGAAGTTGGACATTGTACAAGTGAACACATGCTGTTGTTTACTATACACTAAGCCTTTAAAGGAGACATAAAAACTTCACAAAAGTCTATATTCGGACAAGGAAGTACAAGGGGCTTTATTGGAAGTTATTACTAAGGGAACATTTTAGGGTGGTGATGAATATCATGGTTAGGATAAAAACCACAGGCGGGGCAGCACAAGGGACTCAATAGAGAAGGCAAACTACTGTGTGAAGGCAGGTTGTAGAAAAGAAGAAGCCTTTGCAACCCTGAGTCTTTGTGCAATGTCCCTGAAGGACAAAGGTCACTCAAGCGGGCAGCAGGATCTCTGGCCTTTGTCACTATGGAGCCCAGCAGAATCAGGGGCTGTTCTGCCTCTCTGAGCAGCATGCAGACAGCAAGCGGGAAGTCTGTCTGGGGACAGCCACACAGTCCTGCTGGCTGCTTCTGCCAGCAGGCTGGCTTCCTGCGGAGCTTCCGTGGTGATA